ATGCTTTGATTGTTTCACTCACAACTGGGAGAGGATATACAAGCGAGATAAGAGGGTTGAGCCTGAGCACTTAGCTGCACTTATAATATTGTGGGGCCAAGAGGAGCACCAGGTAAATATGTATAGTAGTTAATTATCATCAAGTTATTTATCTGAAACTAGTGATATATTCCATTGTATATTATACCATGCACTAAAATTCTCTTTGTTCATGTTGAAGGAAAAATGTAGGAGAAATAAACTTAATCGATGGAAAAAAGATTATGATCATCATACGGGGACTACTTCATTTGCCCAGATTGAGGATCAATTTTGTAGGACAACGGTATAAAGTCTTTTAATAATCATTGTATATTCTCTCCGCTTCTTAGAATATTTAATAAATAAAACTAATAAATATATTTTTAAATCTCAGAACGCTCCCTTTATCCCACTACCAGAACTGCACAGGAGAACGATGGTTCAATTTAAGAAGGGGTACGATGACGATGAGACTAAGAAACAAAAGCTAGAATTGGCCAAGAAAATGCAGGTTAACTAATTATCTTAGCTCTTATTAGCCTGTTATCATGTAGTGTTTCTATTGTTTGTACTCTTCTTTTGGTCATCTTATTAGCCGAGTTACTATGACCCATTCGTATGAGGGGCTTGCTTGTTAGGATATAACAATGCATAAGAAATAACATACTGTAACATGATTGATCTACTTGGTTTTATTCTCGAAAACCTTTGAATTGCTAATGACAAAACTTTTCCTATCACCTTACAAGCCAAAGCACCCTTCAACTATTTATTAGCACTTAACACCCTTCTTCACATGTACTTTTATGTTGCACAAAACACCCTTCACATGTACTTTTATTTTACTTGTTCAGGTAAATATCTTTTATTTTTGAAAGGCCAATTCTTAAATTTATTTTTTTGACTTCTAGGAAGCTCTGGAAAACACATATTCTGAGGTTGTTGCACAGAGCCAAGAGCCCCTGACTAGAGAGCAGAATTATAATGTGAGCCATCTAGTTTGTGGACTTCCTAAAAAAGGGAGGACCAGGTGGATGGGAGTTGGAGCTCAGAGGGTGTCTACACAATTCCAGCCTCCGCCGATTTCCACACCCTCGACTATGCCATCGGGGCCCTCTTACATGCCGCAGGAGGATTGCACTCAGCAGGCGATCGACTATGCCCTCGGGGCCCTCTTACATGCCGCAGGAGGATTGCACTCAGCAGGCGATGCAGCTTGTTTCCTCTGTGATGAGTATGTTAGATGGTCAGATTTCCGAGGAGATGTGGGAGGATATTCAAGAGGAGCTTATGCGAGTGATCCAGCCTACTGCTACTTTTGCGATGGTTTCTAGGCAAATAATGAAATCTTGTAGAAGGCGGGTTCCTACTCGGGTGCAAAGCCAGATCATGAATTTCTTGGCCACTCAAAAGGCATTTACTGGTAGTGGAGAGAGTAGCAGACAGGTATACTTATTATATATGTAAAATATGATTACACACAATATTATGTGATTCTAAATTTAAATTATTTTTTTGTTAGGGTGGAGATGATACTATTGGGAGCACGAGTCGTAGGGATGGATCCGCCAGTGGCAACGCGGACGATGACATGGATAGGGCGGATGACCTATCTTAGTGAGTTATATCCTAAACTCGTGTCTGATTAATATTGTGGACATCTTTATAGTTGAGATTATGCGTGTATGGTTTGATGTGGATTTAGAACTTATGACATGTGTATGGTTTTTTGTGAAAATTGTTGTGGATTTGGAAGTTATCGTGTTTGTGTATGGTTTGATGTGTATGGTTTACTGACGATATTATGTACATATTTCGAATTTGGATGGTTTGTTTGAGTATGGTTTGATGTGTATGGATTTAGAACTTTGTGTATGGTTTGATGTGTATGGATTTAGAACTTATGACATGTGTATGGTTTGTTTGTCAAAATTGATTGGATGAGATATACAGGGAATTGATGATATGTACAGGGAAATAAATATATAATCACCAGATTTTTTTTTTTTAGCTAATGCATATCGCTGACGGGTTTTCCCGTCAGCGATAAGTATCGCTGACAGGATTCCCGTCAGCGATGCACATAACAGGGTTGACGACTACCCGTCAGCGATGTTATGTACATCGCTGACGGGAATCCCGTCAGCGATACTTATCGCTGACGGGGATCCTGTCAGCGATATGCATTAGCAGAAAAAAAAAATCTGGTGATTACTAAATCAATTCCTTGTACATGCATCGCTGACGGCTCCCCGTCAGCGATACTTATCGCTGACGGGAAACCCGTCAGCGTTCGTGTGTACAGCGACGACGAACTGTCGTCAGTAATGTCTATCACTGACGGGATCGCCGTCAGGGATAGTGAAACATCGCTGACGGGAATCCCGTCAGCGATGTTTCAATATTACTGACGGCATTCGCCGTCAATAATGTTGCCGTCAGTAATAGACATTACTGACGGCTCCCCGTCAGGGATGTTTTATCCCTGACGGGACTTTTCCTGACGACGTATCCTTGACGGGATGCCGTCAAGGATACGTATCCCTGACGGGAATTTTGACATCCCTGACGGGAAAGCCCGTCAAGGATACCGATTTTTCCACTAGTGTATTTTGAATATATGTAAGTGACAATAAATTAAATTTTAGAGGAGAGAAGAAAGAATCAAAGAATAGAATAAAAAGCAAGAAAGAGAAAAATCAAGAAAACAAAAGATGGAGGGTTCAATTAAAGATATGAGAAATCTAGAATTGAATCCACTAGCTAATCTCAATTATTAAATACAAACTATTCTCTTTTTGTCATATTTCAATTTAGATTTATTAAGTATAAACTATCAAACCATTTAAGAAAAATATAACCTATCAAATTATCATCTAAGTCAAAATAAAAATCATGATAAAAACAACAACAAGATAGTAATCCTAGAATTCATAAGTATAACCTATCAAGCTATTTAAGATAAGCATAGATTATCAAATTCTTCTTCTATCAATTAGTTCTCTGGTTGATTAACCTAAACATGATCATTTTAAGTGTAAGAGAATAATTTGCGGAAAGTAGACTAGTTTCATACAATTCTAAGATTCCTATAAGAATTAATTTCATATCCTAAGAAATAAAAACAAGAAATGAATTAAAGAGAATAAGAACTAATTACAAAACAAAAGAAAAGAAAAATAAGAAAAACTACACTATGAACAAGAAATAAATCTAACTACATTGCAAAAGAAATAAAGATGCAAAAAAATAAATCTACTCTACAAATTAAAATGCAAAAAGAAATAAAAAGACAAGAAAGTAAATCTACTCTACAAGACATGAAAGTAAATCTAAACTAATAAGCAATAAAAAATTACTAAAAAATAAGAAATAAAAGAGAAAAATAAAAGAAAAGCTAACCTTCAAATTGCTCTTCATCTCCATCTTCATCATCCAACAAAGAGAAGAAAATAAAAATTTAAAGTGGAGAAAAATTCTTTTATTAATTATAACAAAAGTTACAAATTTGGAAGGTTTTCTCAATTAAGAATAACCCTCCTCTCCAAATGGAGTTATAAAATTTTTCACATCCTTAACCCCTCACTCTCTTCCCCTATTTATAGTAAACATCAGTGAATGTGAGCCATTGGATTAAAATCTTATCCAAAACAATCCATTTTCAGTCTTTGATGCATAACAGAATGTCTGACTTCGATGCTAGCATCGATGCCCCAATAAAAACTTTGACTTCGCGGTTGGCTTCGTCTCGTCGAGATAGGCGATTTTCATATATTATATGTTAAATTTCGCCTTTCGGATTGGGAGACATCGCCGTTTTTTTTGCGGCCAACCATCTTGAATACATTTTTTTCATATTTGATTTTTTTTATTTTCTCCGGCTTCTACAAGCTACTCGCCTTGATTCTGGACTTAGGCTTTTTGGCTCTTGCTTGTGTTATTCATTTAATTAATGGGTTTTTATTAAGAGAAGAGATCTTGGGTTTTATTCTTGATTAACCTGCAATTAAAGATAAAAACAATTATTAATGATATATTTATTCATGTAAAATAGATAATAAGGGTATAAAATTGTAATAAAAATGTGATTATCAGTTATGAACACTGTATATAGTCGTGAGGTGAGCTCAGAATAGACACAGAAAGCAAAAACCTCTTCTCATCTCTTTGAAAGAAAAAAATTTTGTCTTTCCCCTCTCTAAAAGATTTTCAGTTTAACTCTATTGGGCAATCTCTTCATCTGAGTTGAAGCTCTATTCTCTCACCCGAGTATAGAGATCGGTCAATTCCGGGGGGTTTTATCGCTAGAGGAGAGAGGATCATATATCTTCGCCAGGGCGATAGGCAGGTCCTTTATCTTATAGGATAGTGTTTACACGACTGCTCCTGATCAGGCCAGATTTTCTAATTCTTTTTACATTCGGATTTATTTGTTAATTTGCATGTTATAAGCTTAGTATTTGATTTATAACCAACACAAAAGTCCCTTATAGCAATGGTTCCAACCGTTGCTTATAGGCTTCTTAGTAACAGAATGGACCGTTTCTAAAGCATTAACAATGGTTAAAACCGATGTAAATAATCTGTTACTATTATAGCCATTGTATTAGCTTATTGTAATGATCTAAACCCGTTGCAAATATACCAATTGTTGCTATTAGATTAATTTTTATAAAATAATAAAAAATCCATGTTAGCAAATTCTAACCGTTGCTGTAGTCTATTAACAACAAAAGACAACCGTTACTATAAGATTTAATATTTATTTTTTAAAAAATAAAATATCTGTATCAACAAAATTCTAACCACCACTAAGGTATATTAACAACATAAAACCATTGCTATAGGATATTAAAAATACATTTTCACCAAAATGTTACTGCTTATTCTCGCATCTAACTATAGTAATGATATTCACCTATTTCTAATCATTTATTTTAATACATGATATCATTCAAATGAAACAAATATTACCATCATAAATAAGAAATTAACTTAATCAATTAAAAAATAATGTGTGTTCGATACAAGCTTTGTCAATAAATTCAATGAAGTGATAATCAACTATAAAACATTGAGTTTAGACCATTTTCAAGATTCACAACTTCTCCACATCCTACAGCCTTTAACTGAAATACAAATCTAACAAATGAAAACCTATTCAAAGACCTATGACAGTGAAGCAATAAACCATGAATAAATAGAATTTGAATGATAAAGATCATGGCGAGCACATAAATTATCAAGATGAGTTCTTCCTTCATGAGTCTCTCCCAATGCTTTGTCTCCTTCCAACTAATTCTATTCAAAATATTCTCCCCTCCACCATCCATCACCTTGTAACCTTCATCCTGCCACAAACAATGGAGACTTAGAAATAAAAAACAGAACATTTAAGCCTCTACAAATTAATATTCGATTTAGTATAGCAGCCAGCATCAGCAAACACTTTAAAACATGAAGCAATTTAAACATAAATCAATTTAAAATATGATTCGGTTTCCTGTAGCAGTCAGCAGTAACCAATATTGACTTGTACAGTATAACATGTTTATTGTAGAACAGGACATTGAAGGAACTACAAGTAAATGAACATACCTCAAAGATGCTTGTTGCCCAATCTCTACCACGTAAGCTAGACTTTCTTCATAAATTACCAGCTTGTCAATATCTGGCACAAACCAACATGTGGTAAATATCAGTAATCAGGTGTGCATTTCATATAGAAGAAAAGAGCAAGGCTAGGAACCTGAATCATTTCAGTGGGGCCATAAGTTTTTGTCCGAATTATCACCAGTGGTCTAAAAGATCTACAGGTATGCTATGTGGATTGGTCATATCAGTTCCCCTGACAAAAAAAGGATAACGTAAATAATTTAAAAGAAAAGGAGAAGAATTTCTGATGAGTTTTACAATGATTTCTATGCACACAAGTAAACAGAAGCTGTCCCTAGCTAATTGTGGCAACAGTACACACTGCTATCTGATACTTCCTTTCCAACTTATCAAGTTCAATTGTGCGAAGAAAAATCTCAATTCACCGAAGCCAAAGATATATAACAAATAAGTTATGGATGCTTATTTGGATACTAACTAAACATTATACCCATTGCAAATTCATACCTCACATTGCATATTCCTCTGTTTGTAGCAAATATTACTATAGGTGATATCGAGCTCTCCATAGCATGATTTAGGTAAGAAAAGCATTCCATGTCCAGCATATGAACCAGCAGATGTAAAAATATAATTGTTGATACTAGACCTTTCCAAAACAAAAGCAATGGGAACATCATAAGAGAACTGTACCTCGTCAATAAATAGCACCCCAAGGACAAGCTCCGCTATTTCTTCATCAATATACTTGTTAACCACCTGCCACAAACGCATCTTTTAGCTACAATTAGGTAATCATGATGGCATTATTTGGTATTAACCATTTCCTTTTCCAATGAAGACTTTATAATCCTCTCATAATGTTAGGTGTCATCCGAAACTGGATGCCATAAAGACCAGAATAAAAAGAAAAGTGAAATTAAAAGCATATGCACAAAGACAAACATAATACCTTATTAATTTCTTACCGCGGTTTGTCAGTAATTTCAGTCTTCCTAGGTTTCATCATCTGGCCCATAAGGAATAATATATCATGTCCACCTTGTGGGCGGGCATTTGCTGCATCAAGGTCATGTAGGTAAATAAACGTAACTTTAAAACTTATACATTAAGTACTATATCATGTAGGTAAATAAACGCAACTTGAAAACTTATGCATTTTAACAGACATATCATTCAGCCCTTTCATTGTTTAAAACTAGCCCTAGAAGTGGTGTCAGTTCCAAGAGCAGCAATGAAGGAGACTATTTTCGGCTTCAGAGTTTTTTTTGGGAGAAACCTAAACGTGTAATGAGAAAAGAATGACATGAAAGTCATCAATGAAAATTCAAAGAAGAAACTACCTTAATCTTTTGCCCTGAGCTACTAATCAAAGAGCAAAATAGATGTAAGAATAAAAAGGCAAAAATCTTTTCTAAAGTGTGCAACTCTATGAACTTGCTTCCAGTATGTAATCACATTTCTGCTACAACTATAAAAAGCCTTCACGTGAATGATCATGAAATTTGCATGTGTGTGCAATCCTATTAGTTATATGATTTCATGAGAAGGTATTTACTACAAGGGCACATACATAAACTTTGGAAATGTAGTATTTACGATGAGAGCTCATGTGCATTGCCCATGTTGTATTTCCAGTCAGTGCACAATTCAACATATAAGAGACTTTATAAAAATAACTCATAAGACATTATTTGTTTGTGAATCCATACCAGAGACATATCGAAAGCTACAAAGTCTCCTATAGCTTTGTTTGCAATGAACACCATATGTTTATTTGATAGGTACACAGTTGCCTTTGTTTTCACAAGACCACCATGGGCTCTATGAAAATGATAATAATGGAGCACAATTGTGAGCACTCCATCATTATGTGATGAATTCCAAATTACAAAATGCAATCTATATTAAAAGAGATATTCTTTCTTGCAAAACGAATTCAAGGATTTGCAGACATAACACAGCAATCACTCATTGAGTATATAGCTGCTTCTAATAAAATAAGAAGTGCAATAGTTAATATAATTTTGAAAGTAGCATATTGTACTTTGTCAAGAAAACCTTTTAGCTTGCTAAAGCAAACATCGGTATACTTCCAAATGTCCAAAAAAACAATAATGAAAGTTACTACCAAAACAAAACTTTATAACAAATGCATCATAATATCAAAGTTTACAAATAAAACTAATCAGGTGACCTAGGTCTCATTGACTGAACTGCAAGTTAACCATAATCATTTGTATACCAACATGAAAAACTACACAATTAAAAGTTATGCCATCCTAAGCCCCATTGTCAACTCTGAGATGCTCTTATCCTATCAATATTTTACATATTTAATCATTGTACTTGATACTATGCATGGAATTTGGACCTAATCCCCAATAATTCAATTGGTTTCTAGTTTAGTTACATAAAAAAAATAAGCTATATCACTAGTCAGGCTATTTTTTATCATAATTTGATATAATTTGTAAATTATTTCTCACTGAAACAACAAATAATTGTACCTTTGTTATGACTGGATGACAATTAAAACACAAGAAAGCACAAGAAATTAATAACAAAGATCCTTGCTTACTGTAGTTTTTGGCCCAATTTAGAAATCACGAGCTGAAAAAAAGGAGATCAGTATCGAGATTGATCTCGGTGAAGAGGAGGGCGCGGCAGCCGGAGCGGGAGAAGAAGGAGATGCGACCGCGAGGGGAGGGCCTGGGGTTGACGACGACGCTGAGGCTGGAGATGTGGAACTCGGTGACGGTGACGACGGGAGAGCGGGGCGAGAGCGAACAGCCACAGAGCATACGATAAGCAGATATATATACTCTAAGTCAGGCTCTGATACCAGGTGTTAGGATTCACCCCAATAATAAAGCCTCGAACGGAGATTTAATCACAAAATAAAGGCACAAAATTCAACACAGAGTACTCACAGATATACGTCGTTCACTCCTTCGGAGCTACTCCACGGTGCAACGACGACGTCAAATTCCTTTATATCCCAAAAGAATTGATCCAAGAGAACACCCTCTCTTGATCAGATACACTCCAAGAACTCTCACAAACTCTCTCTTTGTTTTCTCTTACTCTTCTATAAGAGGAGTTGTTTTTGGGATGAGATTTCCTTAAGAGTTTAGGGCCCTATTTATAGTGTTTGGGAAACACTATGCACAAATAAAATATTATTAGTAAAATATTTGTGGGACCCACATCCTTTATAAATTCTCAACAATGGCTGCCACCGAATTTGATTTTTCTTCTTGTGGGGCCCGCCTTTGTGGGCCCCTCTTTTGTTTTCATGTTGGCTGGGTCAAAAAGGTTGGGCGCCTGACAATCTCCCACTTGAAGATTTGATTGAATGTCGATCATATCTTCACACCACTCTTGGTTGCATCATCCGGATGTCATGTATCTTTGACGTCTTGCACGGCCCTCAACATTCTCAACGGAGGCCATATGAGGCTGCACACAGCCTCACCTTCTCGAGCGGAACTGGCTTGGTCAGCATATCAGCTGGATTATACCTCGTATCAATCTTCACAAGCTTGAACTCGTTCCTGCTTTGCCATCTCCGTATGGCATGGTGCTTCACGTCAACATGTTTGGTCCGAGCATGGAATGCGTCGTTCTCTGACAAGTGAATGGCACTCTGACTGTCGCAGTGGATGAAGTATTTCTCAAAGCTTACTCCAAGCTCGAGAAGAAAAGCCTTCAACCATAGCAACTCCTTTGCTGCCTCTGCTGCAGACACGTACTCGGCTTCGGTTGTCGACAAAGCCACAGTATCCTGTAACTTGGATCTCCAACTTATCGCTCCACCTCCCAAGATGAAGATGTAGCCGCTCGTACTCCTTCTCGAGTCTATATCCCCGGCATAGTCTGCATTACAAAAGCCCTCTAACTGTAAATCTGTCCC